AAACTTCTTGCGCCTCACAATACACTTGTACCTAGTTGTTTCTTAAATAAATCAAGGGTTAATGGTCCATTCACGACTCTCGCACAGAGGTTGAATCTTTAGTCGTTGTAATTTAATTTTTGTAATTGATTTTACTTCAAAGTGGTTTTTGAGGCTGAGACATCCAAATTAATAGTCGGGCGGATATTGAGTGCTCATAAAAGAGTAAAATAAATATCATCTTCAATTTACTTGGCAAGTGTAGCAATTAATTGGTTGCGGCAACATTCTGCTAGCACGTATTTATTTATTTATTGATCGATCGTGTCGGTACATCGGCCCATCACGCCGTGTAAAAGCAATGTGTCCGTAAATAGAATCAATTTATCAAATGTCGACTCTTGTACATATCTGTTTAGATCTCAAAGTGCTAAGTGCATTTTACGTGACACTTTTTACCCGTACGATAAGTGATATTTTACACATAACATATTGAAAAGTTTTGCTGTGTAATTATTGAATGAATAAATATACCAATATACACGATGTATATAGTAGTTATCACGTAGCAGCGTTTAATAAAACATGGCAAATCCTACCTCCACGATCTTAATTAGTCTGACATTTTCAGCACGAAATCTAATCTTTTATGGATTACCTATTTATTTTGTTGGAAAATGTCATTGCTATTAGCGAGAGTAATAAATCCGCTGTATACAGAATCTATCTTTTAGTTCGCACGATTCCTTGTTTGGAGTTCCGTATCCGAAGGGATTGACTAAATTATTACCCATAAGTACATTTATTTGATTCTTTTTACAAAGAAAATGTAAGGTAATAAAGAAATTTCAGAATTAAATATCAGGTTAATTTTTATTTCTTCCTTTATTTTATGTTGCTTTAAAAATATACTTACACAAAAAGCTAAAGGGATAACTGCAAGTGACTTAAGAAACGTTGTTCTCAAAGGAACCCTTCACGGACTACTCCGACTCGTGCTTAACAAGTTTAATTTTATATTTACAAAGTCTTTAATGACTTCGCTAATGTTTAGTTAATTATATGAGGGCAAGCAACGTTCTTTGCATGAACTTTATAATAATCCATCGGTCGGCTTAATGACCAGCCGTGGCGCGGCGTTTTCGTTAATTAAACGCAAACAAAGACGGCTGACTTCACTTAGTTATGATCAAACACATTAGCGGGGATTTGCGCGCACTTATAGCTATTTCCTCGAACCAGATCTCGCTTGAATTCATTGCTTTTGTAATGTATTTACTCAGTTGGGACCTAGTTTTAATCCATTATGTTGTGTTCTCAAGTTTTTCTTCGAACATACTCACTACTGGTGACCTAAAACATTTGTAAATACGGAAGCTAGTCGTTGTCACTGTTGACGTCGCGACGACGTCACGACAACACACCCGCAGTGTGCACTGCTCCGCAAAAATCGTTTACGATAGTCATTAGTCTTCAGTGCGCGGACTAATTAATACAACGTTTTGAGTAAAGCTTCAGGATAAGATTCCTTACGGCGTCGACGAGAAAAATCCAAAATTTAATTAAAAAAGTTTAAGTGAGTTTTCACGGGTGAGCGTCCGCCCGCGGCTCTCAATAATTTAGGCAAATTCTATTCTTTCTGCAACCAAATTCTTTTGGGATTGCCTATGAACTGTAATTAACCTTTTAATCCCAACCGATAGCGGCTTTGTGACATTTATCGTAATTGAAATGTATTTCCTTAATAAATAAAGCCAGGGGACAATTTAACGACGAGACGGCTTACAGAGCGATAATACTAGCATTAAGGCTGTAAAAACCTGTGTAGGCTGCGTGCATAAAAATACTTAAAATATGTCGTCAATAAAGCATACGTGTAATAAAGTATGATAATCCTCTTAAATGTGGAGATGAGTGTGTGACAACTACACGGACAGTGCGTCAGTCATACTCATTACTGCGCGTGCGCCGACGAGCCGTCCGCGTCCGTGAATACTCGGAACCCGCACACATTTTTGTGAGCTCATTAAAATTACATTACAGCTCTTATTTAAACAGCAAACAACTAAACGACGCTCGTTAATGCGTCTCTTCGTTGAGAATTTTATGGACAATCCCACCCCGAACAAACACTAAAACATTAAGCTTGTTATACGTACACTCGATTAATTGTTACCAAGAAAGTTTGTGTGAAGTTAAATTATGGCAAAGTTATTATTTTTATAGCAATTAATCGGAAAAATGTAGCTCCCTTCTCTTTTAAAATAAAATGCATACTAATGGAGTACTAAGTATTTCGTCCGCCTATTATTATTTTTCACATGAAATCATTCAGCAAAAATGGTTTGTGAAATTAAATAAGGTATACTTAGTACTCCCATGAAATTCACATGTTGAATATAAAATTAATTAAGGTTATACAAGTTATGAATAACTAAGGATCTGTGTAAAAAGTGCATTTTATTCAACTTCTCTTTAAATGGTATACCATTTAATTGATCGATGGCATTGTTGTTTACTCAGTGGAAAGGCTAACTATAGTTGACTGGTTCATAAAAAACTTACCAAAGAAATTATTAGTACATTGATGTACAGAATACGTAATGCGTAATAACACCGGGTAATAGTCGGTTCAGTTCCGACAAAGAGAATTAAAATGGCGTGTCCACATGATTCCTCGGAAAACATTTATAGTTACTTTTTGTTTGACAGCATAATGTATTTTTAAACGAATTTAAAAAAGATGTTTGTATCGGTGTAAAAGCCTCTGGCCAATTAGCACAGTGTAGCACCCTCAGAGTACCTGTGGAGTGCCCAAACACCTCTCTGCTGCGCATGAGAATTGTTTTAAGTGCTTTTCACGAACGGGGCTGTAATATTTGATCGACAATCAACTTAAAAGCTTTTGTAATATAATAATGTACACTGACTTTTTGTATCGTCTGTGTGTAGTTAGGTGTGGGTGTTCGTGTAATATTTGTAGTTATTATTGACTCTCAAAATTGGGAAATTCGCCGAAGATAAACACTTTCTGTCATCTTTTCTGCATTTGTTGGCGGTATGGTTGTGGTGATGTTACTTAACAAGTGTCCACTGTTACGGAATATTTTGTTACAAAACTGCTCAGTTTCGAATAAAGACGGAACAAATATCTGACCGGGTTAAATTTAATTAAAAAGGCAAAGAATAAAACAACACGTTTAATCATTAAATAAATATATTTATTTACACGTTAACGGCAAAATGAAATAATTACTCGTATTCTGTCGATGTTTATGAAGTTGAAAATATTTTTAAATCGGTCGTGTGGAAGTATATAGTATTAAAATTCCTGGAACAATTTACAATAGCCAATAATAGGTACTAAGTAACGACAGTTCAATTTTTTTACATAAATACATATTTTATCGTAGAAATCTTTATTTTACATTAGGTATTCTATATCTTAGAAAATTTAGCATTTATCTACAAAAAGAGGTTCCAACTTCTTTTAATATTAAAAATAAAATGAAGATTTAGCATTCATCTGTATTTCAAGATTGTTACAATTTAATGCGCGTACAACATTCACTGAAGCTCTGTGGCAGAAAGAAAGACAAACACCTTACTGATCAACGTCAGACATCGAACAGCCGCCTGCGTGCTGCGCTGCCAGGCTTCTATCACTGAGTGACTTAATATAAACGATCACGCAGCCCCATCACACGACGTTTGTAAGTAAGGTGGATGTTTACAAGAATGTTAAACAGTTAAACGTTTATATTATACAGAGGTACCTAACTAACCATTGCACCACTTCAGAGTACCAAATATATCACTATTCATCTACAATCTTAGCTCATCTGTGTAGACTCTCTTATTTAGAAAACCCTTCTACAGAAATCTATCTTTGGTAAAAAAATAACATTAACATACGTAACCAATCAAAAGTAAATAAAAGTAAGGAATTACGATCAATAAAACTTCATACCTTGTATGATAACAATATTTATGTTTAGTACATGTACATACATACAATCCATAACAATGAGATCGATTTTATCAATTAATGTTTTAGTGTCTGGACCTGAATCGTTGTATCACGATAAAAGTACAATCGATACAAATCCGCTCGCTCTCTGCCCAGGGAGAACCAGCTCGGCACACCGAACGGAATATATTATCGACAATACTCTACTCCCTAAGTTAAATTCCAAATTATGTATTCAAATAAAGACCTAACGTTGTGGGCATGTAATGAGCATTTTATCCATTCTCTTATTTATTGATACGGGGCGTGTCTATATTGGCTAAGCGCAAGATGTGGTACAGAAGGTACAATAAAGTAGAAGCGAGAGCGCGCGCCCTACCCACGCGACGCTGCTATCTTAACATGTAAACAAGTGCTCAAATCGTATACATAATGGAAATATCGTGTTCTAACAACGTTATCGCGACTCATCCCGGACACTTTGTAAAGTGGCCACATATCCACGAGGCGACTCCGGCCGTCTCTCGCGCACCGCCCGCGAGTCGCGCGCTCACTAATATATACCCAACATCTCGATGTACATCTGCACTCAGTCGGCTCACAACACTGAATACTTGGCCACCTCACACTTTTATTATATTACCTTAATATCAAGAACAATTCGAGATTTTATAACAGATGTGTTCAGGTTTGCAAGACTTCATTATGAACAAAATGTAAAAATAAAGCTTTACATACTACTCTATTTTCTATGTAAGGTAGGTTTGTAGGGTGATGGCTAGTTTGTATGTGGGGTGAAGAAACGGAACGTCACGCTAGTGTCTATAACTGTGTCGTTAGAAAGACGTTCTTCGATGCCGATTGTGCTCGCCCCAACGCCCAGGGCTTGCACGCAGCCTGCGCGCCTCGCCAGTACTCAATGAGGTTTTACCTGAATACAAACACAACTATTAAACAACATTCTTGTGGGAATGATTGGCACCACATCATTTTCATTTCATTTATTAAAAACGTGACTAACCGAGGCGAGATGTCGGCGCTGCACCGTCGGTCATCGTGCAGCGTCACACACGTCTGGGTCAGGCGGGCTGCCGTACCCGCTGGACGCGTCGTCTGCGCCCGCGCATCCGCCGCCGTCCTTGTCGACCATCGCACCGCCCGCTGCTGCTCCGCCACCACAACCGGCCACACCCGCCACGTAACCACCACTTGTTGGTGACTGTATACAACAATTCAAATGTTAGGAAATTCATATTATTTATGTACCAAAAACTATTTCTAGTTTGATCAAGGACATACCTAAATTATGTGATAGCGTTTGTTATTATTCAATATAAGTAAGTGACCTTAAAAGATCAGTGGAATTAGTACAACCAGGGTAAAGCTTATAAATCTACTTATGAGATTAGAGTCATAAGTGTGCTGATAATGTGCTTTATAATTCACTTACGGTCCCAACAGTAGACCGTGCACGCAATCAAAAAGTCGATTAGAAATGTCGCGCGGCTGAATGGGTTCCTCCACTCGCGCGACTCATAAAATGAAATAGATTCCCCCACATTCGCATTCCGACAAGCGTTCGTACGAGAAAGATTAATGATCACAAAAGAAACATAATAAAGTGGAGATAGAATCTCCCACTAACAGTGTCCTTGTGGGAGTTATTTACTCCGCCGAGTCGACTTTTTCACGTGCCCTTTATTCTGAATGGAGACGTTTGAAAAAATATATTCCTTTCGACTGTAGTGAAATGCAAACACATTATGCTCACTACAACTAAAGTACGGAGACAACGTAGAGCGATGCATTCAACTCATCATTTTGTAATAAAGTGCAAAGCTGTGCGTACCTAATAACCGAATCCGTATTAAATCGATAAATGGTGTGTAGTTCCACCTTGTGAAGACTATAATGGAGCTAGTTTGCAGCTATTACGTTAATAATAATTTACTAGTTAAGTGCGAGTGTCGGGCAGTGTGGTTGAAGCTCCCACAGCCCGCATTGGTCCACGTCAGCTATCCAGGTGCGATGTGCAACGTCGTTCATTTTAGCTGAACCACGTACACCACGACCGATGGGAACCGACAATATGTGCCGCTTGTGTAATTATACGGCGCTTGACATGACTGTCCGTTTCTATTTGAGTCACGGGAACTATCACACTTGGAATACGAGAGTACTGCGCTAACAAAGCAGCTAAATGGAGCTATTGACATCGATAAATGGGGTCAATCAATAAACAGTAGTTGTTGTAGATGAATCGGTTCATAATGAAAGCAGTCTAGACGGAGCTGAAATAGCCGTTCCATAAATATTCACCTGTAGTCCGCTTACTTGGCGACGGATGTGAGCGAGTCCGCTGGGGTTGGCGGCCATGCTGGCGAACACCAGTCTCTCTTCATAGTCATACTCGCACAGTATCTTATTGTCGCATAGGTAGAATCTGTCGCCCACGCAGAACCTGAACAAACAACGGACTAAGTAATCTGTCAATCACTTACCCATTAATACATGGCCTCGTTAGTAAGTAATACTATGATCTATTGTAATTTTTCCATTCTTTTCATTTATAGGTAACCTGTTCCTCAGGTATCTTATTATCTTTCTTTTATATTTGTATTGTATTTTAGTAACCAAAATACATTTACTTTAGAGAGGACTTTAGCTTACCTATGGTTGCACTGCTGACAGGCAAAGCATTCTAAGTGGTAGACGAAACTCTTCGCTCGCATGACCATTTCGAAGGCGGGAATGACTTTGTTGCAGGCCACACAGTTGCCTGTCGCACCAAATAACCTGTTAAAAATAACAAGGCTATAAACATAAAATACTTACGACATATAAATACCCCGAGCACTTTACATTAAAGTCGTTTAAGCGAGTAATGTGATGTCAGTGTAAATTGTCTAAGGTCGCTTACCTAAGGTAGTCTCTTTTGCAGAGCATGAGGTCTGCCTTGTAGTAGAGTTTGGAGCCGACTTCTCCTAAGCGGCAGTCGCAGCAGCCGCACTTGAGGCAGTCTTCGTGCCAGAACCTCTCCATGGCTTTGAGCAGGAAGCGCTCCGTGATCACCTTTCCGCACTGTGCACATAGCCTGGCGCCCCCCGTGCTGCCCGTCACGTTGCTGTTGACGGTGAGCCCGTACTTGTTGTCATCCTGTTGACCTGTTAACAAAGTAACAAACGTCGTACATTGTACATGCAACACGGAACGTCAATTACAAACGATATACTTATGCAGCTATGCATATTAGACACAAAAGGAAAAAGTAATGGTTTGATTTAATGATTCGCTACGTTGCTGGTACATGCCAGTAATTGTTCGTAATACGCGTCGTTATGGCATTAAGCTAGACGCGATTGTTTTCTACTGTGTAATTGCGTCAATTAATGCGAGCAAAGGCGTACCGCATGACATGCAGTCGTTGCTCGCTGACGTCATTAAGATGCGCATACGCATTTTTCTCACACTATAAAAAAATGCAACATTGGAACATACGGACTCATTATGTGCATTAACAGCACCCAATAAAACTTTATGAAGCATTCGCTCCATAAAAGGCTAAGCTACAATTCTTATTTCCTTTTAAACAAACAAAGTGTGACGAGAACTTATTGGAACGGCTGCATTGCATTTTAAAATCAACAGCGAATACAGTACAAATAAATAAGACAATGAACATTTAGCAAACAATCAGAACCAATTTATCGGCAAATACGGTCCACATAATAATAGTGCGTACGTCAAACCAATCAAGGATCCAATTGAAGGGGTAACTAGGTGGACATAACTCATTGCAATCGATCACTTGCGCATCGCCGCCGCCGCCGCCGATACGTCTCGTTTATTGGAGCCGACGTCGCGACAATAAAGTTAATTGGCCTATATTAATGGCTCTTTACTAATAAAATAATAAGGATGACGTGCGGCGGTGCGGCCTCCGGGCGCGAGCGTAGCTATTCACAATTAGCTGTGCGGTATAACGCCGCAAGGGGTATCGCCGTAGAACAACTGTGGTGCCTACGGGCTTAAATCCACATACCGTCTAATAACGACACATAAACAATAACGTAGCTCATTGCTCCTCATTAAAAATAATTGCTTTAGTTTCCAAAAAACCAAATGTAAAGAACTCTACAAAATTAACCACTGGTAAAAGTAATATAATTTCCGCTAGCACAAGTGAGACGCGCTCACGCGAAACGTTAAAAGCTAATCAATTCAACGTGGTTTCCTTTAATATTCTGAGAACGTATGTAGCCGTGGTAAGTTTTCTTCATGGTAAAAACATTTACCACGTAATGTTGGTTTACCGGGTTTAAGCGAGAGCCATTCAAAAATCTCAGTATTTTTCTTGGGAATGTTGCACGGAGGCGACGGCGCGGCGTGCGGTTACTGGCGTGTTTTGACCATTTCAGGTTGTATGCATGTTGTTAGTGCTGTAATTACGCGCAACCACACATCGCTCTAATAGCCACATTGATTTTATGTATTTACTTGTAAATGTATGTACATGGCTGCTATACTTTTTAATGTGGAACGATTTCTTAACGGTATTCAATTTCAATAATACAATTAAGTATGTTAACACGCAATCAGAACTGGTGACATTCCATTGGGAGTAGTCAACGTACTCTTGTTCACCCATACACTATTAAGAAACAATAAAGTGCACGTTAATAACATGGCCTGTACATAAATATCCGCTGGTGGAAGGCGTTTCGTATTATTTTCGTTTTATTACCTTCGGCTCGAGAGTTTGATAGAGACTTGGCTGCCGCACTAGCCCGCCAGTATAATTTCGCCGACACAGCCGGTTGCCCGCCGCCAACGTATTAAGGCGCCGAAATGAAAAGAAACCCGGAAATGGATGAAAAGTAATTTATTTTAGCGCGAGTAGGGTGACAATGGTAACACAAGAGATAGTGCCTGTAGTGTCATGTCCCAGGAGTCGGAAGTGTTGCAGAGTCACACTAAACATACATTTGTAAGGAAAAGACTTCTAACGTTTGAAACAATGGTTTATTATTATCAAAGCAATTAAAGTTATCTTGTATTTCCATACTTTCCTCTTGATTATACAAATATCTTCGAGCGATAAGATCTCAATGACAAGATACTGCTGGCGACTTTGTGCGTAGGAGCAAACTGTTCCCTCCACAGCCGAGGCAGGCCCCTCTGACATGCCTACTCCCCAGCCTCCGGTAACACAATATTAATTTTCTAATTTCACCGCGAAATTACATCTAAACATGGGATCTAATTGGAATCCGTAATGGACTTTCGTTCAGAAAATCCTTTCTTAGCGACGAAACTCATTTCCGTTTGTTTTGGAAACGCGAGTAGAATGCGAACAGTAAGTCTATTACCTGTTTGTACTTTATACGAATATATGTAGATATAATACATTTCACTATACATACGAGTTGTATATTGCCAACAAAGAACATACGGACATAACTTCAAACTCCCAGCCTTTATTGGTAAGTTCGAACTTTATTGAAGAATAAACTGTGTACCTGGCTTCAATGTATTATTGTAATAATATTTGAAAATAAATGATTGTATTGCTGCTCGAATAGATCAAAAACAAACCAAAATTAATACGAACTACTTTGAATTTTATACGGTCAAGACAAGAGATTGACCTCAAAAAGGATGAATGTTGAAGGCCAGTTACATCCTTTAATAAAAACAAGTTTCTTTCTATTTGACATTTTACTTCTCATTTGAAAAGCAAAAAGTTTTTATCAAAAACATTATATTCTCCGCCCACAATGAGGTCGCCATGATTGAACTAATAAAGTAAAAGGCTACATGTTATGCTAAAAAAAAATTGATATGCAGCAAAATGTTCAAAATACTGGTTCTTTAGTAATGCTCCATAAAACACAAACATTCTTGAGATTTAATTAGAAGTCGGTATCACGAGAGTACAGCGTAAATGCTGCGTAACTTACAATCGTTCATTACGTTTTGCAATTAGTTTTCCATCCCTATATGCTAACATTACATGCCCACATTATTGACTATGCAACATTCTCGGAACGGTATTTCTACAAGGTTTTGTGGTAAATGATCGGAATACATATTTGCGTCAATTAACTATAATAAAGCTATTTCTGCATAAAGCTATAAACTCCATTCTAATAGGTTATTGTAATATTCTGCAACAATGTAGCGATAGGCAGGGTATCACAGGTATCATGAACACACATCATGAGGTGACTTAAATGCAAGTATTTGCATATCATGCCTGTTTTATGTGTAACGAGTAATCAGATGTTTATGGTGTAATACATACTTATTTGTGGTACCCATGAAACGATAGGTAAAGTGCTTATGACCATGTAGATATTACTTAATAACTAACCTGCACTCCGTGGTTGATTTCATAAAATGAGAGTGTCAGAATCTGATATCAAACTGATTTCTGAAGCTATCACAATTGATTGATCTTCTTTCAACAGATTTACTGGCAAATATATTGTCAAAGATGTTTCCAATCTCCGTTTAGCTATTACTCTTGGACTTATTAACATGTCGACGTTGTACAGAAGAACTCGCTTGCTAACTACGCTACTACAAGGAGATGCCAAATTGCATTGTTACGACACTACATAAGATGTATTCTGTCTTCATTCGCTAATACATTCGGATATATTTTACAAGAAAATGTGCATATTCTGTCTCATCTGCAATATTTGCTATGACTGTGAACTCGTTAATTTAATTAAAAAATCAGGAGGACTTGATTATAATATCTGAAATTCTTTAAGTTAAAATCTTTTTAAATCATTGTGTGATTAAAAAAGGTGCGCAAACACAAGTATTCATAAACTACCAATATGCTAAAAGGACGTCGATGGTTTTACGTATTTTCCAAAACAGAAGGATAACATAACAATAAATCGGAACTTCCAGAGTCGACTAATGGTAGGTAATGATTTCCTAGGCCCTTTAGCAGTTTTTGTCTGCCCTGGGAATGGAAACTGAGACCTCAATTATGTACAAAAACAAGTAAATGAACTGGGTAGTTACCGTATACTACTAATTTATTTGCTGCCCTAACATTAAACATATTAAGGCGTGTGTGCAGTAGCAAGCTGCGACCGGCGCACCCCAGTTCTTGCTTTTTTAATTATTCATTTAATTGATTTCGTTACAGCGTAATCATTTTTGTTGCACAATATCTACGATAGAAGAATTGATCTTCTCATATTAACTTAGAACTGGAAAATAAAATACCTACCAACATGAAATTTCCGAAAAAGTAAATGACAGAGAACATTACAGAGATTAAAATTAATTACCTTAATATATTCTAACAACAAACTAAACAGACTTATTTAATTAAATTTCCATCTGCAAACGGAATTGCTATAACAGAAACCGCTTATTCAATTTAATTACGAAAACAAATACGTAATCATATGGTACAATCTAAAGTACGATACTAATGGATTTGTATAATGATTGTGGTTGCAGCTATTCTAAATGGTCATACAGTTTATTTAGTTTTAGCCACCGGTCACTCATTAAACAATGGAGTTGATTGCGTTGTTGCGATATCCATTATGCGGGTTGTAATTAGAATTAACCAAATGCGGGTTTTGCATTAATAGCGATTAAAATGTAAAAAATAACGAGCAGGATGTTCGCCCTGAATAACGTTACTCACATTACTAAATACCTGCCAACGATACTATCTGTTATTGCGTACCGTTCCATACATGTTTTTTTTAAGTTCATTCTTCATAGAGAATAACTTATGTTATTATTGAAATATAGCTAATGAATACTTTTGGTCGATAGAATAAATTAAATATTATTATATTAATAATGTCTTTGAATTTGAGTCGATTAATCACTTATCCATTTGTTGGACGTAAATAATAATTGTAGACAATTAAAGTATACGTTCTAATTACACTGAATTCCTTACTAGATCGTGGCAACAGGACATTCCAAACAGAACAATTAAATCAATATGCAACCGTGCAATATTTTATATGACCTGGCCCTTATAATCTTAATCGGAGTCGTTATGGTAATTAGTTGAGAATAATGTTGCAAGTAAATCTCTGTAGGTGGTTGTAAAGCGGCAAATAACGAGGTGCAAAGGTGAAAGTGCAGACGCCTTATTAAAATTCCAGCTGACCTATGGCAGCGCGACGCACCCTGCAACACAGCCCACCCTCCCCTATTGCCACCATCGTTAACATTTCCGTTATTAAAAAAGTACGAGACTTTGTCATCACAGAAGTTAGTTTTTTTTTAATTAAAATTATGAAATTGATATTGCTTTTACGCCGGTGCTCGCTTCCCAGCTCAACCTTGTGAAAGTTTAAATTAATTTTTGAATTAAGCCTAATGGCAGTGGTAAACGATTTCTAAGGAAAGAGTTTTCAGCAATTAAAATTTCAATTATTTGATGGCAGAAAACCGTATCTTAATTGCTTTTCATTACTGGTATAAAAAGAGGCCGGCTTAGCAATTTGCGAAGATTAATCAGCTACAACTTGAGTAGGAAATTGTTGTCTAAACAAATAGATTTAATTATGGAAATGAATTATTATGAGCGAACATTACATTAGTGATTATTGCATCGAGTGAAAGAGTGCGTACATATTATTTTGAACATAAGAACTGAGTAGATACAGTCACGCATGAGGGAATATGTTTTCTTTTATAATCATACCAGTTCTTGTTAACACAGGCCGCAGATATTCAATCTACATATTAAATTAACTACTGGATGTCTGTTTGAAGCTAGTGCGGTACCCACACAAAAATAGAGGTTTGGATTTGGTGGTGTCGTATTAGAAAAAGTTGTCCTAGGTACTCCGATTTGACATTTTCTGGTAGAATTCATACATTAATTATAAATCGTTTATTTTCTCAATCGGTCGGTTACCGTCAATGATTCATGCATTTTTGGCATTTTTTAATTATCGATATCAATAGCAGATATTTACTTGGTCTTATAATACACATGTTCACATTTCAGATCGTGTGGTCAGCTATCACTCATTTAATCCGAAGACTTAAAAAAACACTGGCACTGTATATGCACTAAAATATAAAATAAATAACCGTATTTATCGATATTATTGTAGGCTACACATCTCATAAAATAGCTTATTCAATTTTACTTTGTTTAACGAAGTGGAAAATTAGTGAGACGAATAGACGATTATTTATAGCTGTCTGTTGAGTTCTTGATGATTTATGCTATACAGTTTTTTGTTTCAGTTAACTGTTGTATTCACTTAGTTGAAACAAAGAGTACCTAATAAAATGTGGACAATAATGAGAAGTAGATTTATCGTGCACATCACTAGATGATACATCGTATCCCGAAACGACAATCAAACGTATACAAAGTCGAGACAATCTACGTCATAAATTATTTTCTCAGAGAAAGGCTCCGGGCGAAACTTAAGCCTGACATAAGTGGGCAATAAACTTCAGCCAATTTGGAGATTCGCATCTGGAGGCTCTTATTAAAGCCCGAAAGTTAGTCCTTTTCATCCATCACTCGTAATACGTGTGTGAGTTATTGTATGAAAAATTGAAGAATAAATTGAGTCGCTGCAGCAGCGGCGAGACATAAATCCCAACTGAGCCCTCAATATTGTTTTAAAGGGGAAGTGGCCATAAATTTTATCAGGGCCGCCCAGCGCCGCCGCTGCCGCCACGCTACGGCACACCACGCCACGCCGCCGTGCCGCCTCGCAGCCGCACTGTCTCCGCAATTTTCCGCCGGTGCCCGTGCTGCATTTGATGCTCATGTGAATTTGTTTTGTTATTTCAGAAGAAATTGAAATCTTCCTCATGGATAACTACGTTATCGTGAAATATGAGGTAATAACTACGAGTACGAAATTGGCCAATGCGGCAGTCTCCAGCACTGGTGGTAGTAAATCGACGAGCCGTGACATGTTTACACTATTTAGTATTACATCTAACACGTTCGCGATTGAGAACTCGAGACAAGACACCAACTTAAGTGTTTACTCTTAGATGGAATTGGCCAATCCATAATCCCACTAAAACTGTCGGCCAATAAATGTATTGGCTTGCAACTCAAAAATAGCTGCGGCAAACACATTTACAATCTGATCACCGCACACAGACATTAACGTTTCAAATCCTATTCTGGACGACACTTTGATTGAAATTAATTAAATATGGTGACAGGGTATTAATCGCTGTTATTATAGTAGTAGATCTTAGTATTTTTATTTAGGTGTAATGTGAATGTTATGAAACAAACATTAATATAGCTAGGCAGCCGCAGGACACAATATTTGCAGATTGTTTCTTACAAAGCTGGCATATCAAAAATCTTTACTGTTTTATATCGGCCATCAACCGTTTAGAAGACACAGACTACAATCAGCAATACTGTACAAAAACATAGTCCGTACAAGTTTGTGGGGCACAATAAAAAATCGCTTATTTTTATCAATACGATCTGGGTGTCGGACATTTCGCATAAATGTGATATTGCAATATCGTTCGTCCCCTTTTTAATATCGCGACGGACGGCACTGGGCGGTTTATGGCACAACCCTTCCCGCGTTTTATTCGCGACCTGTTTGTCCTAATATTATGAAAAAATTGACGTCGGCAAAACGAAAACGTCTGCTTATATTTTTTTGTTCCTTGATTTACTTTTTGCCTACTAGTAATAGTAGCTACTGTTTATTTAACGTAAGTAAAACTCAATTCTGTCTTAAATATTCATAACGTGTATTCAATATTTACACGGCCGTTAACAGCTTGTAAACAATGTTCGTAAAAATAAAAAATCGAATTGTAATCGAAGCAGGTTAAGTTATTGAGACTACAACATTAAAGAACGATGTAGGTAGAGTTTCATTAAATACAGTTTGTATGAAAAGATGCAATATGTATAAAGTTTATTAAGGTGGGTACTCACTGTTGGCGTTGTCAGGCTTGTGCATGGCCGGCGGGTCTCGGATCATGGCGAGGTCGTCACTCGCACATCACACAACACTGTGTTCTGTAACAAAAGCAAATATATGTCAACATTATGCAGTAATTTACTCATAGTTATTTAAATCGATTGCTCAGTTGGGCTAACGGTGACAATTACCACTGCTTAACACGGAATTCTTCTTTAGCTCTGTTTTATTGGGTTGCTGTTCTAGTATGATGAGAGAAAGAAAAAAGTAATCACTATACAGACAATTTGTCTAGTACATCAACATAATAAATATCCAAACACAATGTACCACTCAAAATTCTATTCACAAACTCAGTCTCCAAGCACTTGCGTCCAAATTATACAAGTGCACCTACATCGATGTTGTATGCAAAGATGTCCTTATTTACAAAGAATCCCAGCCAGAGCTGAAGGAAGGTAAGTAATACGCTGAGAGCGAGCCCCGGCAGCACGCGTCTAGCTACGAAACCTCATTAGAATAAACGATATCCTCTCCTTACGTCCACTCCGCGAGACCTTATTACTCCGACAAACTGCCGTCAAACGGTACCAACCAGCTAACAAGGACCCTACACGAAATAAACTCTATAAACTACACGCTAGAGTCCCATTTCCAATAACCAAACACAACTCGAGCTACACATAATAATTTTCTGTCTTAGAAATACGCTGTAGAGTCCAATTTCAAATGTAACATGAATAACAAACGCACTATCTGGTGGTATTATTCCGTGAAGGTTGAGACGTCCAAGCAAAGCTGTAAATTGAAACTAGGGGAGGCACTAATATCTCTTGTGGCTTGTCTCGTGTGCATATTGGATGTCATCAATTTTCTAACGCCTTAAATGGAAGCACCCAACTCTGGCTGGCAAACTTTTGTAAAGCTATTTGCCCATAATTCAATGTACATTTTGTATTAGACGAGTACGACTAAATTATCTTTATATGTTCATTATATAAAGTACTGATTTTATTTGAAAAGATTCCTCCTTATTTATTTCAGTATTTTGACACAGAACGCCCACCAAAGTGGAATTGCTTCCAAATAGATGTTAAGACTACGAACGCGGTCACAAATGTCGGAAGCCCGTCCTTTATCATCTGGACCACTAGTCGCAATGAAGCGATCCATCTTTGGAATACTTTGAAGCGATTTATAGGCTTCCGGCGCCGGCGCAACTTACGACCGTCTTTTGTACATTTAATAGACAATACTGATCATAAATATCAGCTACTTAACGTTTAGTTCGTGTTGGAGCATATTGAAATATTTAATGGAAAATTATTAATAAATAAGGTTATTTTCTCGTTACTTTCATAGTAGATAGATACGTGAGATCAGTGTTTTACAAGTTACGTGTGGAAAATGTAAACAAGGAGTTCGTCACGTGCATCTCGATACGGTAACAAATAAAGCGCCATTAATTGTGGAGACACCTGTTATGTGGTTAATGCGTGGCATTCGACGTGTCCACTGTTCCAGGCCGCGCGCCACGGCCGGCACCGTATCGGTTATTCATTGACACCATTCACAGATAGCTGCCATCCTACGAAAATGTGAATACAAAGCACATAATTGTCACATTAATTCTTAAGCTTTTAATTGACATCACGTTCTAATGCGCTTCGGTTATTTACACAATGACATATGCGAAAACTGAAGATTAAAACACAAAATATTGAATATAAAACTCCATCAGTCAAAAATAACATCATATACACGTATAAAATAAAACAGAATATGCTATCAAACTTGAGTGGAATGAAAAAATTTTATAACCGCATCGAAATTCCCATCAGCACCTGTTACAAAGGCGGCTATCAAATTACCCGCGACATATCCGCGGAGCGCGCCGGAGCGAGCACGCCTCCATCCATAAATACGGTATTCGTTATGCATTTCTCATATTCATGAATCCGTTTTATTGGCCCCAATAAAATATGAACATCTCAGAATGGATATGAGAGAGCGGGCAAATCTAATATGGATTGCTGTGCGCCGGATTCGGTCCGATCGGCGGGTGGGGACGGACAGCTGCGCCGCGCTCCAGCCGCACCAATCAGTAATGCTGCCATTTATCTTTTCAACAATACCTTGAGTTTAACTACCCACGTAAAGCCCTTCTTTACTACACCGCAAACAATCGTATCTTGTCGACTTATGTGACAACGATCACACGAAAAATGTGTTACCCCCGCAGTAATCTGTCGCTACTTGTAGTGTGAGACTGACAAACGATCCCCGAGGCAGCGCCTAACACATAATGCGAATTTAAAGGACTTTGCCCCACTAAACCACCTGAAGAAAAGGGCAGTACTCCGTCGACGTGTCAAAAATTCAACAGAGTGCCGGGATAAGTGGAATGGATGACGGGCGTCGCAGTACCGGATAAAATATTCTACGTCAAATCGTACGTCACCGGCTCTCGACTTGTTCTCGCCGAGAGTACTTCGCGGAAGTCGATTATTTATTCGCTTTTACGTCAGCTATAATACGCTGCTTTTGTGCCCTTTCCGATTTATGTGCGCCCATCGAAGTGTTTAATAATACGAGAGAAAGTTACACCACACCACGCAGTGGCTAATTTCATTCCGGCGGTAATCTGACAAGCAAGCGATAAGCGGATGTTAACGTAGGTACTTTACAAATTGTGTTAATTATCTACATTATCATTAATTAAAAACATTACATAACTAATGCTTTGCCGCCGTAAAGTACTCAATTTCTAATATAACGCAAGTACGTAATATCTACAGGTACTGGAACAATGGAAGGGTTGTATAAAAGTTTCCCTATAAGATGAGGGTGACCAGTAGTTGACTATCGGCATGTAGGACGTTATGATTATGTTATCAACACGATCAATTAAGCAACATTACGTTAAAATTCACCCCAGCCATCAATTACGTGGCAGCCGGCCGGCGCGTCGTCAAACATTGGGAAAGGCAAAGTATGGACCTCCTCGACGTTGTCGCGACAAATGTAAATATGATGAAACATCTTGAACATGAAGTCTTCCCATGGAATATGAATGTTAGCGATGATTTTTATTTTGATATATTAACGCGTCAGTGTAATCTGTAAGACAGTCCCTTCTGACTTCGCTGATCGGATTCATTATTCACCGGAGGAGAGCAATTAAACCTCCACTAATCAATCTCAAACTTCAGGCTGAGCTGAACTCTAATCAAGAAAACTCCTATTCTGTGAAAGCTTTTCGAACAAAATTTAACTTAATTAAAAATGTAAATTAAATTCCTAGTCGCTTCCACAAGCATGACGTCGCCGGGCCCGGCTGCCGCCGCCGCGCGCCCCGCACACAGCGCTCGGGGCTTTTGATTGCAGCTAAAAGGTTTGGGATTAGTGCGCGAAAGAGCTTTCAGTGCATTTGTAGAGCTTTTAAGTGGGAAGCTTTCGCTTAAGACACTTACATACAATGTAAATTTTATGTAGATAGCTACCTTGTGAGTGTATCTTAGCAACTTTTAAAATAGTCCTTTCGCTTAATGCTCTAATACAAAGTGAAGTTTCGATAAATAAAGTGAATAGACAAAGTGGTGTTATCGCTAATTTTGTTTGTTTTAGAAGTGTATCTGCAGACAAACAGCGCTAAGCGAAGGGGTTGAGGGGTGTCTGGGAGGCGTCCAGAGGGAGCGGCTCTGACCAAGGAAGTTCGGTGTCCGGAAATAAACCGCCCGTAAAATTGTCAATTCCGAGGGAGCGCCGGCGCCTGGGCCCGACAATTTTGAAGCGTGCGGTTCTACCGGCCCGCTGAGCGCCGCGCGCCGGCCCGATTCAATGTTTAAAAGGCATCTCATGTCAGCACTTTATTTTGATTTCTCCATAACTTTATTATTTAAGTACCTATGTTGCGAACCAGTAACTACATACATCCTTCTCCGTTTTCGGATCAGAATCAAAAGAAGCAAATAAATAAAATGTAGAGTACGTACGAGTGTTGCAGCTCGCGCTCACGCTACACGTCAGCAAAATGCGCATTGCCATCTGGGTGTGCGCCAAAACAATCACTGTTATTCAGTACTTAGCTGTGCGATACAGTAAATTACACAACATTGTTTCACAGTCATTAATTCAGCGATTTCGCGATTAAAATTTAATTACATCCAACTGTCGGTATACAAAGCCATCAGATAGAGAGAAGATTGAAAAATGGTTAAAAGCGTTAGGGAGTGATGTAAAAGAAAATTGGGCGAGATATATCATGAGTAGCACACGCAGATAACACACGCATAACCCATCCAATCACAAGGAGCAGCGAGCAGAAAGCTTATTATCGAGACGCGGCGTTGCGTCACCCGGGTAATGAGGAGAGCGAGACGCGACCTCTGGGCGGACACGGGACGGACGCGGGCCGGACCGGCTCCCGGCCAGCTCCCGGCACGGACTGCACACGTGCACCCATCCGACGTTACAACCCTCGCGCTTTTTGAACTGAGATCATCGCGACGCTCATCCGTGAAATTGATTCTCGAGAAAAGGAAAGACTAAAAGATAAATAAAAAGGAAATAGGAAAACACAAGCTAAGATTTGGCGTGAAATTGTTTTTCAGCACCCGGCCGCCCGTACCGCTACGTAGCCGCGTCGCCGTCGCCGGCCCGCCTCGGGAATTTCCCAATTACTGGGTGTGAATGTATCTACTTGATTACGTAATGGATACTTTAAACACCCAACTTGGAACGCTCAACTTTTATAGTGCTGTACCAACTTGTTAATAGCACAATGCTCTTGACGAGTCGACTATAATATTCTTCAAATGGAACCACCTAAACAAACTTACTTTGTTTGATTAAGTCATTTGTTCTTCATTTAAGTTTATTATATTTATTAGTCGTGAGATAACCTAATATCAAGGATGTCACGCTGTCTGTTAGCGTAACACATTCAAGGAGAGAGTATAACTACCTAACGGATCGGTCGAATTGGGATCTTAAAACACTGTGACATCTCATCCACTACGTGATCCATTTGCCGAAGTAAGAAGCAATCTCATTCAATA